TAGGATATCCTTACATATTTGTTTTTCTTAATTTATTTTTTTCTTATTCTTCAGCTGTCAGCTCAGATGTCATTGCTTCCAGGAAGTTCAGATCTCCCAGGCCAGATCAGACCTCTCCTCTGGGCCCCTGTCCAGTCCAGTCCTAGCCCTGTGTGATCACTGCTAAGCGAGCTCCGGGGAGGGCAGTTTTGAGATGGCAAGAGTGCTATGCTGAGGGTATCGTGCTGGGGTAGTCAAATATACTATGGCAGGGCAGGCAAATTGTTGACCCTGGGGCCAACTACTCTTGGTGGACAGGGTTTGAGGACAGGGTTTTCTTTTAGAGAGATTTTTGCTATAGGACGCTTGCACTTGCCAGAGAGACAGAGAGAGACAAAGAGACAGAGAGATAGAAAGCAATAAATCACTCCCTCCCCCCGGGGGTGGATGGTTATGCCGCAGTACTTTTTCTTCTATTCTCCTCTCAGGATTTTGACTACACATGCACATGTGCCCAGTGTGAATTCTGAACCGTGGTCAACTCCATGGCAGTCTAGGGATGTAACTATTATGCCATCTTCTGGCCCTGGGTTTTCTTTTCTTTCTTTCTTTTTTTTAAAAAAAATTTAAACAATTATTTAATTTTACTTATTTATTATATAACTCCATTCTTTTTTATTGTTTATGTTCCTCAATATAAAATTTTAAACAGTACTCGTGGATTACCTCTTCATATTAATCCTTTTTTTATTTTTTATTTTATTTCAATTTCTTTTATACATTCAATCATGTTATTTTGAATGACTAAAGGATATAGAAACATAGTAAATTGTTGTGAATACCAGATACAGTGTGGGAAGAGGGTGGGTGAAGGAGTAGAGTCTGAGGAAAGTCAGTAAGGAGAAAAAGAGAGAGGAAAATTATTTATGAGGCAAAGAACTGGGTTATTATCTGTTGAAGATTTATTCATTTATTTTTAATTTGATGAGAAAGAGAAAGAGAGAGGAGAGAAAGTGAGGAAGCAAACCACCAGGTCTGGGACTCGAACCATAGTTAGCCATGTGGAAGTCCAGTGCCTTAACCACCATACCACTTGCCTGCTGGGCCCTGGGTTTTCTTTCTTTCTTTTTCTTTTTAATTTTTGTTTGGGATAAGCAAATATTACTGGATTCTCACTTAGTTGACCATGGTTTGAGTCCCAATCTCAGCAGCTCCCCCATGGGGGGTGATTTCTTGCTTTCTGTCTCTGTCTCTATCTCTGGCATGCGCACATGCCCTCTAGCAAAAATCTCTCTAAAATTTTTTTGTTCATTTTTTAAGCATTGCTTATTCAATTTTATTTTTTATTATTTTTTTTTTTAGAGAGAGATTTTTGCTATAGGGTCCGTGTGTTCGCCAGAGAGACAGAGGGAGACAGAGAGACAGAAAGTGAGAAGTCACCACTTCTAGGGGTATGGCCATGCTGCAGTCCCTTCTCTTCCGTTATCTTGGGATTTGGGCACACACACACCCAGTGTGAGTTTTAAGTCACTGGGCCCAGGACTTGAACTGCATCAGCTACTTAGGAGTCCAGTGACATAACCATTATGCCATCTGCTGGTCCCTATTATTGTTACTTTTTGATTTGCTATAGGGCATGTATGCTTACCAGAGAAAGACAGGGACAAGGAGAGGGAGAGGAAGTGAGAAAGCAAGCAGCCAGGTCTAAGCCTGGAACTGTGCTTGGCCATGTGGGAGTCCAGCATCTTAACCACCTTGCTACCTACCTTGCTCCAGAGGACAGGGTTGTTGAAAAAATGAATAATCTGACTACCTATTCACCAGCAGCCTGGTGTGTGAGGACACTGCCCACCTATAAGACAAGAGCCTGGAAAGAAGACTGTGTTGACTATAGGAAATTGCAAAGTAATGTCTCAGGTGAAATTCAGTGATATGTCTTCAGACTTCTCTCATGAAGAGTGGGGATGGCTAGATTCTATCCAGAGGGATTAATATAAAGATGTGGTGGTCCAGAATTAAGAACCTAGTCTGTCTAAGTCTTTCCATAACTAAACCATATGTGATCACTTTATGGAAAAGAGCCCTGGATGGTGGAGAAAAAGCTGCCAAAAGGTGTTTTACCAGATGGAAAATCAAGATCAGAAACAAGGAATTACCAAAAAAGGAATATATTTGTTACCAAGGTTCACCTCGAATGGTAGTAAGAGGAGAAATAGTAAAACAAAATTGTGAATTTTCAAATTTTAACAAGGCCTGGGAATATATAGAGAAGTTGGAGGGTAAACATGGAAGTCAGATCAGTGACCCTCACTTTTAGAGAAAGCCCAAGGCGAAAGTACCTACAGATACATTTAGAAGCATTTTCCATTTAAATTCTTTTTCTGAACTACAGAAAATATCTGCAAAGGGGGAATCACATAAATATATATCAAAGAAGAGTTTACCTAAAAAGTCAGTTATAAAGAACCAGAAGATCAGGGGCATGAGAGATCAACAGTTAGCGTAATGGCTATGTTGCTGGACTCCCATGTAGTCGACTGCGGTTTGAGTCCCGGACCCGGTGGCTTAAACTCACGCTGGGCGCGTGTGCGTGCGCGCCCAAGATCCTGAGAAGAGAATGTAGGAGAAGGGATTGCGGCGTGGCTATCCCCCCGGAGGGTGATTTCTTGCTTTCTACCTCTCTGTCTCTCTCTTGACTTTCTGGTGAGCACACGTGCCCTATAGCAAAACAACAACAACAACAACAACAACAAAAAACAAAAAAAAACAAAACCAGAAGATCAGGGACCAGCAGGTGGTGTGGTGGTTAAGGTGTTGGATATTCCCATGTGGCCAACCACAGTTCAAGTCCCAGACCTGGTGGCTTTCTTTTTCACTTTCTCTTTCTCTCTCTCGCTCTCTTGTTCTTGTGTGTGTTATCTCTGGTCAAGTGAAAATGAATGAATGAATAATAAAATTAAATAAAAAACAATTCTTAAAAAAAAAAGAAAAGAACCAAAAGATAAATGGCAGAAAGAAACTTTTGAATTCTAGCGAAACTGCCACAGCCTTCAGCCAGAGCAACTCTCTTACCCTTCAATAGACTTGTAATTGAGAGAAAATATATACATGTTAGTGGATGTGGGAAAGCCTTTGGCAAACAATCAATCCTTTATCGCCACTGGAGAATTCACAGGAGAGAAACCCTATTGTCGCCCATAGGAAGACTTTTAGCCAAGGCTCATCCCTAACTTGACATCAGATGGGCCATAGTGGAGAGAAACCTTACAAATGTGTTGAATGTGGGGAGCCTTTAGCCATGTTTCAGCACTTACCAATCATCAAAGCACTCACACTGGAGAGAAATCGCATGAACCTATGAACTGTGGAAAGTCTTTTAGTCGTCTTTCACATCTCACTGAACACCTAAAAATCCACACTCCAGAAAAATTCTGTGTGTCGGATATGTGAAAAGGCCTTCATTCACAGGTTATCTCTTATTCACCATCAAAAATTTCATACTGGAGAGAAATCTTATGAATGTTGCAGCTCACACCTTCCTCAGCATCAAAGAATTCATACTATAGAGAAAAAAATACAAATGTAACAAATATCTGAAAGTCTTCAGTAGCCTCTCATTTCTTACTCAACATCAGAGTATTCATACTGAAGAAAAACCTTTTGAATGTCGGAAATGCAGAAAATCCTTCAGCCATTCTGAACCACTGAATATGCATTTGAGAAATCACATTAGACTGAACCCTTACAAATGCAGTATATGTGGGAAAGCCTTCGGTCTTGGTCATCCTTGCTTCAATATCACAGAATCCATACTGAAGAGAAGCCTTAGGGATGTAATAAGTGTGGGAAGACCTTCAGTTGTAGTTCAAACCTTACTGTACATCAGAGCATTCATACTGGGGAAAAGCAATGTAAGTGTAATTGCATGTGGGAAGGCTTTTAGCAAAGGCTCAAATCTTACTGCCCGTCAAAGAATGGAGAAATGGAGAAAAATCCAATAGTGTGGTAAGTATTGAAAAGCCTTTAGGCCACATGAATCACTATACATGTGAGAAATCAAACAAGAGAGAAAATACCCGAGACAGTATTTGTCGAAATAAACTTCAGCCATAGATATTCCCTGATTCAATATCAGAAACCATACTGGAGAAAAGTCTTATGAATGTGGGACCAGCAGTTGGTGTAATGGCTATGTTGCTGGACTTCCCATGTAGTCGACTGTGGTTCAAGTCTTGGACCTGGTAGCTTAAACTCACGCCAGGTGTGTGTGTGTGCATGCCCAAGATTCCAAGAGGAAAATGGAGGAGAAAGGATTGCGGTGTGGCCATCCCCCCTGGGAGGTTATTTTTTTTCTCTCTCTTTCTGGTGAGCACACGTGTCCTATAGCAAAAACCTCTTAAAAAAAAAGTCTTATGAATGTAGGGAATATGGGAAAAACTTTAGCAATGATGGAAACAAACTTATTTTCTACTAGAGTACATACTGTAGACTTACCACCTATGAAAACATTAAATGTAGAAAAGCCTTTAGTATTAATCCCATAACTTTCCTAAGTAAACCCATATTAGGGGAAATCTCTATATATGAAGCAAATGTGAGAAAGACCGTAGGCAAGATGAATTGCTTACAAACTCACCCAGGAGAGAAGCCCTATAAATATAGAAAATTTGGAAATTGTGGAAAGTCTGTAGGTTCAAGTGCATCCCTCATACTATGGGTAGATCAAAGTACTCACACTGAAAAGAAACCTAAGGTAAGAGTTCTTATCTTGCTAGATATCAGAAGACTAATGGTAGAATAATCTATAGGAATTATATGTAAATTTTCCTTTGAAGTGCTGCAATTTGTAAATAATTCTATAGGAGAGCCAACAATCATAAACAAACATGCAGTTCTCGGAGCAGTAGCTTGCAATTTTTCTTGTGTTCTACATAGAAATTATTTTTAACTAATGGGTATGTGAAGATATTGCTATCCAGTGGATCCAGCAATGTTAAGAATTACAGCTGCGGAGTTGGAAGATGGCATCTCCTACAGATGGAACAGTTCTGGAAGCATCTTTGTTAAGTTTTGAAAAGCTTGACAGTGTTTCACGAGATCTTTGGCCAGAACAATTACCAGGTGTTTCTGAATTTGCAGCTTCCTTCAAAAGCCCTATTACTAGCTCTCCATCCAAATGGATGGCTGAAATAGAATGTGTTGACATTGACATGTTGAAAGAACTGGACGACCTAACTACAGCTAATTTGAACGAGAAGGTACAAGGCCTACAGAACCTGGCCTATCAGCTGGGGCTTGATGAGTGTTATTCCTCTACTCTAGGGGTTGTCCTTTACTTGACACTCTGGTGTGGCATTTCAATGTCTTAATCCTTTTTCCTGCATTAATTGAGGAGATGACATGGATGAAAAATAAGCATAGGAACTGATGAATCCCCAAGGACTAAGGATCTTGTTTTCATGCAAATATCTGCACTGATAAAGACGATGGAAAGAAAAAAATGCAAAATATATTTGTCCTCAAAACATTGTCTGTCACTTCCCAAGAGCATTGTTATAGGTCAGTATAATAATAACTTTCTAGAGCTGATAGTAAGTACATTTCAATCCTACCTTTTGATTTGGTACTGGATTATGCCTCAGATAACCCTTCTGGTGTGCAGATTTTAGAATGCACTAACTTTTCTTACAGGTATTTATGGCCTCTCAAATGGCTGGAGCCCCTTGACTTACTTTGGGCAGTTATTTTATATTAAATTCCCTTGGAATATGCAAATACTTCAGAAAGTTTATGGAAAATAGAATTTGTTTTAAATTAAAAAATTTATTAAAAAAAAAAAGGATTACAGCTGCAAAAGTGGGACCAGCACATGGCGTAATGGTTACATTGGTGGACTACCACATGGTTGACCCTAGCTCAAGTCCTGGACCCGGTGGCTTGAAACACATGCCGAGCATGGTGTGTGCATGTCCAAAATTCCAAGAGAAGAATGGAGAAGGGATTGTGGCATGTCCATTCCCCTGGGGCATTTTTTTGTCTGTTGCTTTAGTGAGCACATGTGCCTTATAGCAAAAAAGCTCACTAAAACACACACACACACACACACACACACACACACACACAAACCCCAAAAAACAAGCTGCTAAAGAAGTAAAAATAGCGTTAATACAATTTTGGGGGACCAGCAGATGGTGTAATGGTTACTTCTCTGGACTCCCATGTAGTCGACCGCGGTGTGAGTCCCAGACCTAGCAACTTAAAACTCACACTTGATGCATGTACGTGCATGCTTGGGATCCCAAGAGAAGAATGGAGGAGAAGGGATTGCAGTGTGGCCATCCCCCAAGGGAGTGATTTTTCGCTCTCCATCTCTCTGGCCAGTGCACATGCCCTATACCAAAAATCTCTCTCTCCAAACAAAAATAAAACAAAACAAAACAAAACAAAAACCCTCACACCGGGCATGTGTGCATACCTGCCCAAAATCCTGAGAGGAGAATGGAGGAGAAGGGATTGCGGCATGGCCATTCCCTCAGTGGGTGATTTCTCACTTTTTCTCTGATGAATGCACACACCCTGTAACAAAAATCTCTCCCAAAAAATTTTTTTTGTTTTGTTTTTCTAATATCATTTTGTATATATTGAACTCTTTCACTGTGACTGATATTTCTTGCAAAAATTTTCACTACTTCTTGAAGAATTAAGGTTAACCTTACTAAAATCTTTTTTTTTTTTTGAGAGGTTTTTGCTATAGGGCACGTGTGCTCGCCAGACAGACAGAGAGAGACAGAGAGACAGAAAGCGAGAAATCACCCCTCAGGGGGGATGGCCACACCACAGTCCTTTCTCCTCCATTCTCCTCTCGGGATCTTGGGCACGCATGCACATGAGCCCGGCATGAGTTTAAGCCACCGGGTCTGGGACGCGAACCGCGGTCAACTACGTGGAATTCCAGCGACATAGCCATTACGCTAACTGCTGGTCCCAACCTTACTAAAATCTTTAGTGGGAGACTAGCAAACCTAGTTTCTATCCAAAATAATAAGGATATTATTATTTTGGTGAGGATAATTCACGATACATTTCTAGTGAGCTTACTTTACACATCTCAAGAAAATGTGTTGAGCATCACCCAGTGTATTACAGAATGTAGTGGGCTGGATATATTGGGTTGTGGGAAAGTCATGATGCATTTTTGCATAGAAAAACATAGAAAAGTACATCATGACTCTCCCAGCGACCTAATAGTAATCCAGTAGTTTGAATGTCAAATGTGTTGAGTATCACCCAGTGTATTATATAATGTAGTGGGCTGGGATATATTGGGTTGTGGGAAAGTCATGATGCATTTTTGCATAGAAAAACATAGAAAAGTACATCATGACTCTCCCAGCGACCTAATAGTAATCCAGTAGTTTGAATGTCAAAATCACCAGGAAGGCTTGCTGAAACGATGATTACTAAACCCTAATACTAGAGTTTTTGTTTCAGTTAGTTTGAAATGAAGCCAAGAGTTTACCTCTTTCACAAGTTCTCAGGTGACACTAATGCTGTTTATTCAGAAAGCACATTTTGATAATCATTGTAATAATTAACACATGCAATACTTTTCTCACAAAAATTAAATCTGATGAGAGAATAACTGAATTTGAAATAATTTTTGCAAGTGCTATGGGGATATAACCAAGAAACAATAAATTATGAGAGATCAGGGGGAAAAAAAAAAAGATTAATCTCTGGTCCCAGGAAGAACCCAGCTCAGAGAGATAATACATGACAGCGATGATGAGCTCTGGCTTTGGATCCAGACTGCTTGGGTTTTGGTGCACAACTCACTACTTGTTTGTGTGACTTTGAGCATCCTAGTTCACCTATAGGAGCTTCAATTTTGCCTAGAAGAGCTTTTGCTGCAAAATGAACATAAACTGGAGCTGGCCAGTACTGTCTCATAAGAGCTGGTGCATGTGTTTTCCCAACCTCAGTGTTTAGAGACTTCATCTTGGTAGCTTGAAATCAGCTATGGTGGGAGTGTTTATACCAGGGAAATACATAAGAGGCATAAATACATATTCCATCCTTGAGGCCCAGATGTTAAACATTTAGCACCGCTAATATTGTCCCCTTCTTTAAAGTGTGTTGTGGGGGTTGGGGTTCTGGACTTCACATAGCTGACCGTGATTCAAGGCCCCCATGACCTGAAAATTATGCTGGGCATGTGTGTGTGTGTGTGTCCAAAATCCTGAGAGGAGAAGGGATTGTGGTATGGCAATCACCCCTAGGGGGTGATTTCTCATCTTTCCTCTCATTGTCTCTCTCTCTCCAGTGAGTGCATGTGCCCTGTAGCAAAAACCTTAATTTTTATTTTTTTGTAAAGACAGTGATATAAAAATCATGGAAGGAAAAGGTTAGTTAGTCTATTGGTATGCTCAATCGATGTAATCCTTACTATTATTATCAAATGGGTATTATTGTTTGGTAACTTTAAAAAATAATTATTTATTTAATTGATTATTATTTTAAATATTCACCAAAGAGCATGTGCACTCACCAGAGAGACAGAGAGAGGGCAACTGAGAGAGCAAGCCACCAGGTCTGGGACTTGAACTGCCGTCAGCAATGTGGGAGTGGCAACTTCACCACCACACTACCTGCTGACCCTATTTGATAAGTATTTTTACAGACAGATGTAGAGAGTGAGTCTTGAGTCAGAGGGCTCAGCATGGAGGAGCCTGGGTTGATGACACATGTATGATTTGGCAGACTAACCAGGCTTGGCCCTGCATCTCCAAGAGAGTGTGAGAGGTCAGAGTCAGTGTTCCGTAGCCAGTCTGCTTGTGTGACTGGGCAAGCTGCTTAACGTTGTCTTGCCTTAAGTTGCTCATCTGTAGAATGAGGGTGATAACAGCATCTCCTTTTTGGTGAAAGCACGTCGGGCTGTGCGTGGCAGGAGATACTCAGCATGTGTTAACTGTTATTCCCGCAGCCACTCACCTTTTTCTGAGTCTTTTGGCACTCGGTCTTTCTGTTTTTTAATTCCAATTTTATATTTTAAAAATTTGCTAGGGCATATGTGTACTTGGCAGAGAGAGACTAAGACAGAGACAGGGAAAGGAAGAAAGCACCCTTCCCCCTGGGGCATGGTTCCGTCACAATCCCTTCTCCATCTCTCCCTCCTTTCTGGATTTTAGGCAAGCTCGCACACCTGCCTTTTGTGTTTTTCAAGCCACCAAGTCTTGAATTGTATGGTTGGTCATGTAGATGCGGGCCCTTAACCACCAGGGCACAGGCTGACCTTGGTCTTAAGAAATCAGAATTTTGAGTAAGAATAGAAGTCATTATTATCCCTGTTTTATACAAGGGAAAATGACCAGAGTAGGAGGTAGGTCTTCACAGGGGGTTGTGACGAAGCCTGAGCTAGAGCCTGGCATTCTTGCCTCCTCCAACAGGGCTCTCCTTGCTGCCCAGGTTTTTAACTATAGTCATAAGCTGAGACTTTTGTTAATTGGGGAGTGGCTCTTCAAAGGTCTGGAGCTGGGCATGGACAACAGTTTGGACGAAAGAGCAGGGGCGGCGGTGGCTGAAAGATGATTCCTTTTAGCACCTCTGCTGATGTCTGTGATCACACCCACTTTTTCTGTTAGTCCTGGGATTATGGTGATTAATTGTGCTGTTCCTTCCCATCCCCAACAATGTGAGGCAGAGGTAGTCAGCCAAGCACATAACCCTCCTCTGCAAGGAGCGCAGAGCTTACAAAATCAGGCCAAATCCAGCCACCTCCTTTCTCATAAGCAGGGTCTGGAAGTAACTTTAATTTTTTTTTTTGCTATAGGCATTTTTTTTTTTTTTTGCTATAGAGAGAGAGAAAAAAAGAGATGGAAAGTGAGAAAGTACCCCCAGGGGAGTATGGCCACACTGCAGTCCTTTATCCTCCATTCTCTCCTTGAGATTTTGGGCATGTATGCACATGTACCTGGTGTGATTTTCAAGCTGCCGGGTCCAGGACTTGGACTATACAGTTGGCCGTGTGGGATCCGGCTATCTTAAGCTCCATGCCACCTGTTGGACCTCTTTTTTTCTTTTTAATTGTCAGAAGGTGCATGTGCTTGCTAGAGAGAGACAGAGAAATGGGGAGAGGAAGAGAGACAAAGCACTTTCCAATGGGGTGTGGTAACATGCAATCCCTTCTCCATTTTTCCATCCTGCTGGGATTTGGAGCATGCATACACACCTACCTGGTGTATTTCTCAAGCCACTGTGTTGGGACTCAGACCGTGGTTGGCCATGTGGAATCCAGTTTCTTTAGCTACTAGGTTACGGAGTTGACCCTTGAAGATAATTTTTTTCTTCAAACTTATTTCATGGATTGAGT